GTAAATCGGTACTCAGTGATTATGGGATCTAACTTTCCTTGTTACTTGGATTTAGAATGTGAAGGCACCCCACACTTTTAAAAAGTCTTTTTAAAATAATGGGATCTTTATTTGTAAACTAGAATGCTTATAGCCAGGATGGTGCAGTGATTTTAAGGTTGGACTAGGATGCCAGGAGACAAAGGCTTGAGCCTATGTTCAACCATGGAAACCAACAGGGTGACATTAGGCAAACCTCTTCTGAATATGATAGGGGCACCATGAATTGGAGACAACTTGAAGATACATAACAATAACTGCTTATTATTGCTATCATTTTAACTTGTTTCATACAGCTCATTTAGGACCTTTTCACACCAAGCAATTGTAGTACTATGATTCCACTTTAAGTGCTATGATTGCATCTAATGGAACCTGGGATGTGAAATTTAAGGAGGGATGTTTAGAATTCTTCACCAGAGAGCTCTAGTGCCTCACCAAACTATAAACTACAAGATTACATAAAATGCAGCCATGGCAGTTACAGTGATATCACAGTACTACAATTAAATAGTGTGAAAGGGCCCTTAGTTAATTGTATTTTACATTTTACTGTTTATAGTTTTATCTTGCAAGTCACCTTACAGGGACTTTGCCTCAAAAGGCAGCATTAAAAATGATATACAAGCAATACAGTTCAGGTTCTTGGAGTATTAGCCAGAAATACTTTACCAATTACAGCTAGTGAAAAGATCACAGATCATACTCATATCCAGCAAACTGTTAAAGCTCATTTTAACTGCATGGGTCTACTCTTATTTCACTCTTCATCTTTGATTAAAAATATAAGCATAACAATAAACATACAGCCTTCTTTTCTGATCTTCATTCAGATCATATGACTTTTTTGTGTTTCCTCTTTCTTATCTTCACTTTTAAGTCTCTTGATATTTCTCTCAAATATCTTTCTGATGTTCTGTTGTTTATCTTCTTTCTCTGTATGTTCCTTGGAATCTTTCTTCTAAGTACTAGTCTTCAGAGGAAAAGCTGAACAAATATGAACTAAATCATGAGCAGGAAATATCAAGCAAATATAATCACTGAAGGCAAAGTCATAATGGGAGCTAGAGGATGTCCAGTGAAAAAAATCACTACAGGAACTATTGTATGGAATAACTAGAATATGCATTAAAATTATCTTATTGGAAAATTGTTAATTATAAATAACCAGCCACCAAGCATCCTGATTTGACTCTACCTTTCAGTGTTCTGTTAACCAGTTCCTTTGTTTTCTGAGACTTCTGTTAGGCCAGTTTGCACATTATAGGAATTCAGACACAGCATATCTTTCTGGTATTTCTCTTCCTGCATCATTCTAACCTGGAGTCATTTTCCTTATCCCCTTTCTGTCCTCCTTTTGACCATGTATTTGAATATGCAAAAGTATTTGTAAGTAAAACTACATTTATATGTTTTATAAAGAAGATTAAGCTTATTACTTTTCTCTGACTTGCTCTATGATGTGGGACTAGTCATGTTCAGCTTCTGCCTTGCCATTCTGATTACTATGCTTGAGATAGCCACTAATATCTCTCACATTTTCCAATAGTTTCCTATTTGGGGATTAAACATTACTCTGGTGGATTTTCCAGAAATCTTTCAATTTATATAAATGTTGAATTTGGCCACACAGTGCAGATTGGTCCCATTTGAGGAGAAAGGTGGGATATAAGTGCAAAAAAATAAATAAATGACTTATCTTACACCAATTCCTGGAGACCATTCTGTATTTAGTCCAAAGACACCACATGTTTTCTCCATGATCAATAGCTCCAAAATTAATTACAGAGCAAGGAGGAAGAATCCATGGCAGAAGAAATAAATCTAAGGTTTTGTCAGGGCAGAAGGGAGAAAAGAGCAGCTCTCATCCCTGCCCCCAATTTATTCATTGGTGTATTGAACATTTTCTGTCTTGGCCTCCAATGGGAAGAAAATCTGCCCATGTAGGTGAAGGTCTGTGGTATCCTACGGACACATGGAACAAATTTTCAGGGACCATGGGATTTCTTTGTTATTGTGACTAGATGCTGTGTTACTTTGTTGTGACCCAAAGAGGCAATAATCCAATAGATAACATTACCTAGTGACAGTAGTGGGAGTCACCCATTATTACATTACCTCCTTTTGATTACCCATCTTGCCGTAAAGCTTCTAACTTAAGTGTGTAAACATTTAAACTACTGTAATGACAGACAATTATTTCAGCAGGATCTCCTAACCCTCTTTGTAGCACTTTCTGGGAGCTGGAAGGGCTGCTGTGTGGAGAAGGAAGGGACAGAAAAGTCCACTATCTCCTACCAGCATAGCCAGAACTTTGGTGCTCCTTCACACTACAAAATTATAGCATTTTGAGTCCACTTTCATGGCCATGGCTCAATCCTATGGAATGCTGGAATTTGGTGAGGCACTAGAGCTTGCACACACATACAATGATGCCGCTGTTCTTTAGAAAGATTTACTATTATTTTGTTTCCAAGCTTAGTATGGTAGAGAGTAGAGGAGATGATTTATGTTTCTGGCCTCCTAATTGTGTTCCTCAACTTATGAAGATATTCAACTCACTTGAATGCTTTTTTTTATGAATACTTCGTTGATGGATCATTCTTGACCCTAAATAGAGAGCAATGGCAGTGGCTGGCTGTTCCCAATGCCTTTTGTAACCATTTAACTAAGCTAGCAATTTAGCCAAACCATTTAGCCAAGAGAACAGTGCCTACTTTCAAAAGGATGTGGGCATGCTTTAGGGTTGCCAGGTGAAATAAGGAAGAGAGCACCTTTCCCTTTAATGGTTATGTAGAACAGGGAATTTTAGCATCTGTTGCTTGAGTTTAAAAAATCATTAGAGCAACGAGAGCCCCCTCCCTAAATTTTGGCTACATGCATTTAGCTTGCAGTGCTAAAAGCAATGCACACTTCAACAAGTATGAAGTAGATTCCAGCTAGAGGCAATGAAAGAGCTCAAAGGTCACACAGATCTTGGCTAAATTTATATTTTTAGTTTTAAACCTTGTGATCATCTGCTCTCCCAGGATAGATCAACACTTTTAAATGTAAAACTACTTCTCTCCTTGGCCTTCTAGGGACTACAGATATTTTCTTTATTCTATTGCTTAGCTAAAATCTGCATTTTACTGGGATATTTACAAATTATATTTGTAAATTTACAAATAATATTTCACTGAGAGAAATGGATCACTGCCCATAGGGTGACTTTCCATTTTCCTAGTTCATAATGATGGTAGGTAGATCATCAGAGCACAGAGCTTGGTTCTGGAAAAGGATACACTTGTATGCCCTGCAGAAGCTTTGGAAATCAGCTAGTGCAAGCCAGATCTATCTATCTGGTACAGATTTTTTATCAGTGGATTAGGGTTCTTGGTGCAGGATTACCCCAGGCCCTGAGGTTTCTGGGCCAAAACTGGAGATATCGTAATTGTTATCATTCAAACAAACACAGGGAGAGAACATTGTCCTGTCCTAGAAGTTAAGTGAAATTTTAGCTAAAAAGGCTCTTCCAAGATTAAGGTGAAATGACAAGATTATTCCTTCTCATTTAGGGAGATGAGTTAAACCAGATTTAATCTAGCTCACTTGCTTCTAGCTAGAAGGTTGATGCAGAGAAGAATGGAGGATGAGCCCTGGTGCCATTGCATGTAGCAGGGAAGGAGGATGCTAAGTAAATACATAGATCTGCAGGAGAGTCTTTGTAAGTTGCAGCAACAAATCAGATAACCCTTGAAAATTGTAATAAAATATTGCTCTACTAGTCGAGCTGGAATTTGTGCACATAACCCTTTCCTCTTGCCTGGAGGTGACCCAAACAAAATGGGAGAATTTGTACCTCTCATCTTCTGTTAGGAGATGCTCTGAGATCTGGTAACTCTAGTGGAGATCAGTTCATGTTGAAGGCAGCATACCACATTCCTACCCTATTCATTAAAAAACTGTAAAACTCACTTGGTCTCCTCCCCACATAGTGTTTCCCTCATGACACAACTATAGCATTTTGATACCACTTTAACTGGCATGGTTCCATCCTAAGGAATCTTGGGATTTGTAGTTTGGGGGGGCATTTAGAATTCTCTACTACAGCTCACGAAAATACAAATCCCAGGATTCTGTAGGATTCAGCTATGGCATTTAAAGTGGCATCAAAGTGTTATAAGTAATTGCACAGTATGAAAGAGACCTCAGACTCTAACAACATATGGGAAAGCTGTGCCCAAGACCCTTTCCAAACAGGGCACTTTCTGGAAAACTTTTGGTAAAGCTACACCCAAGAGTAGCCACTGTAGCAGCACAA